TGATACAGCATCTTCTTGCCGAGTGTAGCTTCACGTGCACGATAGTGCGTGTCTGCGTGTGGTGAGGCCGAGTACCGCAGCGTGGCGGGCTGTGCTGCCGAGCGCCTTCGTCCCGGAGAAATCCGTGGACTGGGCCGCGTGGGTAGATGTGGACAGATTGACCGCGTCGATTAGGCTGGTAACATATGCCTGTGCGCTGTATATAGGAAAAAAAAGGATAAAAACAAAAAACAAATTGACTGGGCCGCGTGGCAGGCTGCGCGGCTGCGGAATTCATCACGGCTGCTCCCACTTACGATGCCCCCTAATGCGGAGCCCCGCGCCCCCTGAACGGGGGGGGGCACGGCCACACGGGGAGATCGGCGCTCCCCGTGCCCGTCTCCTCCAGGCACGGAGGAGGAGGGATGCAGGAGACTGCGGGGGGCGGAGGAGGAGGAGGAGGAGGAGGACGACGACGAGGAGGAGGAGGACGAGGAGGAGGAAGGAGGAAGATAACAGTAAGAAGGACTGGAGGAGGAGGCGGACGGGGGACGGAGGAGGGAGGACAGAGGAGGACGGAGGAGCGAGGACGTTTGCTGCGACCCCGTCCCCAGCGTCCCGATCGGGCGACGCGCCCCCGTCGGGTCGGCGGCCTGCAGGACACCGGCGGCGCGCGCGGCGCGGCAGCGCGCCGCTGCGCGCGGCGGCGTGCGGTCCAGCTGTGCAGAGCTGGCCTTTTGAGAGAAGCGCTGTTTGGCAGTGAAAACGAGGGCGTGTAGGGGAGTGTGGTGAGGGGACTTGGGACGGGCGGGTGTGCTGCGGCATCGTTCATGTGTTGGCTTACTCTCCCTCCTGCTCCTGCTCCTGCTCCTGCTCCTGTTCCTGCTCCTGCCCCTCCTCCTCCTCCTCCTCCTCCTCCTCCTCCTCCTCCTCCCCCTCCTCATCATCATCATCATCAGCAGCAGCAGCAGCATCCTTCTTTTCTATTATTATGCTCTGGTATGGCTTCTTCTCCCCTTATTATGATAAGATATTTCTCTTATCTTGTATCAAAGATTGTTCTCTGATTATCTTCTCTTCTCTTCTCGAAGAAGAAGAAGAAGAACGTCAGCTTTCGGAGTTCCTCGACGATGTGTTGGGTCGGCGCTGGACCCATGGGCGACGCTGGCGGCGCCGCCAGGGGGGGTACAGCACCAATACCAGAAATCCGAGCGTTTTTGCTTCTGTCGGTCTGTTTGACCTTCCATGGTTCCTCCACTCCTCCCGATACCCCATCCCCCCACCCCAACCCACCCCCCCTCTCTTCCTCCCTCCCTGCGCTCCGTGTCCGCCCCCCCACCTCCCTCCCTAACCCCCCGTCCCCCTCCATCATCTCCGCCTCGTTCGGGAGGTGGGGTGTGCGGGGGGGGGGTCTGCCCACACGTCAGCTCGCGACGCCCTCCATCCAGGGTCCCTCTCCCTCCCTCGCGCCCTCCATCCGGGTCCCTCCCTCCCTCCGCGCCTCGCCCTCCACGCCGAGGCCCCCGGACCCCCGCCGACACGAACCTGTGGCCCCGGGTCAACGCCTGATCGAACCGGGGCCCGAAATCGGGCCTCGGCGGGAATGAGAAACATGAGATGATGATAATGACGACGACGACGACGGCGACGACGACGACGACGGCGACGACGACGACGGCGACGACGACGACGACGACGACGACGGCGGCGACGACGACGACGACGACGACGGCGGCGACGACGATGATGATTGTGGTGGTGGTGGTCAACCCGTCGAAGGCCGCGCGGCATCCCTCGGCGACCCTCGGCCACGACCCTCGGCGGCGACCCTCGTCAACGGCACTCGGCGGCCCGCGGCGGCGGCCCTCGGCGGCAGCCCTCGGCAGGCGGCCCTCGGCGGCGGCCCCCGGCGGCCCTCGGCGGCCCTCGGCGGCAGCGCGGAGGGCGGCGGCCGCAGCGACGTGGTCGTCGAGAGTCGTCGTCCTCGTCGGTTGCCCGCCCGTGCGGCAAGTCCGCCACCCCGCCGGCCCAGGCGTCGTCGTCGTCGTCGTCGTCGTCGTCGTCGGCGTCGTCGTCGGCGTCGTCGTCGTCGTCGTCTTCGTCGACGTCGTCTTCGTCGTCGTCGTCGCCGTCATCGCCGTTGTTGTCGTCGCCGTCGTCGTCGTCGCCGCCTTCGTCGGAGGAGGCGGAGAAGGAGGAGGCGGAGGAGGAGGACGAGGAGGAGGAGGAGGAGGAGGAGAGGGAGCAGGAGCAGGAAGAGCAAGCGAGCGAGCGAGCGAGCAGCGAGCGAGGAGCTGCCCCCTGCTCCGAGCAGGAGCGAGCAGGAGCGAGCGAGCGAGCGAGCGAGGAGGCTCCGAGCCCCGCGCTCTTCAGGATCTTCACCACCGCATCCCCGGAGCCCTTGTACTGGCCTGCCAGGGCGCCCACGGCTCTCGGCCCCACCGAGGGGAGGGAGGACGGGCGGCCTCTCTGCCGGGGGGGGGCCTTTTCTGCTCCCCCCTCCCCCTCCTCCTCCTCCTCCTCCTCCTCTCCTCCTCCTCCTCCTCCTCCCCTCCTCCTCTCCTCCTCCTCCCCTCTCCTCCGCATCCTCCTCCCCCTCCTTCCTCTCTCCTCCTCCTCCTCCGCCTCTCCTCCTCCTCCTCCTCCTCCTCCTCCTCCCCCCCCCTCCTCCTCCTCCTCCTCCTCCTCCTCCTCCTCCTCCTCCTCCCCCGCCCTCCTCCTCCCTCCTCCGTCCTCCTTCCTCCCCCTCCCCTCCCCTCCTCCTCTCTCTCCTCCTCCTCCTCCTCCTCCTCCTCTCCTCCTCCGCCTCCTCCTCCGCCGCCTCCTCCCTCCTCTCCTCCTCCTCCTCCTCCTCTCCTCCTCCTCCTCCTCCTCCTCCTCCTCCTCCTCCTTCCTCCTCTCCTCCTCTTCCTCTCCTCTCCTCCTCCTCCTCTCCTCCTCCTCCTCCTCCTCCTCACTCCTCCTACCTCCTCCTCCTCCTCCTCCGCCTCACTCCTCCTCCTCCTCCTCCTCCTCTCCTCCTCCTCCTCCTCCTACCTCCTTCCTCCATCCTCCTCCTCCTCTCCTCCTCCTCCTCCTCCTCCTCCTCCTCCTCCTCCTCATCCTCCTCCTCCTCCTCATCCTCCTCCTCCTCCTCCTCCTCATCCTCGCTCCCTTCCTCCTCCTCCGCCTCCTCCGCCCTCCTCGCCTCCTCCCCTCCTCCTCACTCCCTCCTCCTCGCTCTCCTCCTCCTCCTGCACTCTCCTCCTCCTCCGCCTCCTCCCCGCCTCCTCCTCCTTCCTCCTCCTCCTCTCCTCCTCTCCTCCCTTCCTCCTCCTCCTCCTCCTCCCTCCTCCTCCTCCTCTCCTCCTCCTCCTCCGCCCCTCCTCCTCACCCTCCTCCTCCTCCCTCCTCCTCATCCTCCTCCTCCTCCTCCGCCTCCTCCTCCCCCTCCTCCTCCTCCTCCTCCTCCTCCTCCTCCTCCTCCTCCTCCTCCTCCTCCTCCTCCTCCTCCTCCTTCCCCCTCCTCTGGTTTGCCTTCCGGCGCGCCGCGTGCCTTCAGCCGCAGGCTCTGCAGCAAGGCTTCGGCAAGGCTTCGCGGTCCGTCGCTGGCAGTCATGTTGAGCACAGTGCCCACGCAACGGGTGACCAGGCGAGGAGGAGGAGGAGGAGGAGGAGGCGGAAAAGAAGGAGAACGAGGCGGAGTAGCAGCCTGACGCTGCAGGTGGGAGTGCCTTGCAGCTTGCCTGAGAGAAGGAGGAGCAGCAGCTTGAGGGCTGGAGGAGGTCGAGAACGGGGGCGAAGACGAGCAGGAGGGGCTCCAGGCTCCGACACGACGGTGAGCAGTCCTAACCTACCCATACCCAGTGGCCAATTTACCCCCCCGGACGGGGATGCGTGCTGCTCCCTTCGGGTTTCGGCGGGCCTATCCCCAACTGCGGGGGTCGGGGATGGTGGGGCGGAGATACCACGGCCTGGTGGGGATGGGGATAGGCTGATAAACTAAGAGAACGGCGCTCAGCTGGGCCACGCTCCAACGCCGTACGGTGAGTAGTTGTTTCGGCTCTGGGGGCCGCAAGACTATGCACGTACCGTTCCTGGGTCAAGAATCGACGACGCCTCGGGAGAAGCCAACGCGGCAGGGTGCGCACAAGTCGTCCGCGGATAAACGATGCCGAGAAAGGCACACGGACCGGACGGCGCAAGAGCGCGCCAGTGCCGGGCCCTCTGGCGGACCCTCCGTGCCCTCCTCGAAGGGCCGGGCCGGGGCGGGCGCCCTCGGCCGCAGCGGCGCGGCCTGTGCCGCGGCGCAGGTCGTCGGTGACGCGCGTCTTGATCGTCTCCACGGGGGTCACGGCGATGATCGCCTGGCGGCCCGAGGGGCGGAGGCTCGGCTGGGGACCCCCTGCGCAGTCATCGCGCCAACTTGCAGGACGCTGGATAACGCAAGACGACGACTTGAGGGGGGAGGGAAGGAGCAACAAAATAGCTTCCGACTCTTCTGCTTCTGCTCCGCTTCGGCCCCGCCTGGCCCGCCGACGGTCCAGGCGCATGCCCGAGAGAAGGGGGGCAGGGAACGATTCGGAAGTAGCTCCCCGGCCCGGGGCCAACGCTTCGAATCATCATCCTGGGCGCCGCCGCGTGAACACGACCCCCGGTAACTTCTGTTTTGGCAGCTCTCGTTTGTGCCAACGACAACACACCAGACGATCTCATAACCAAGCGTGGCTGAGGTGGTTTGCTTGTGTGTGGGGGAAAGAATATAAGAAAAAACAAAATTGGCCCCCCGCAATTTCGTAAGTATCACCCTGCACTAGAATAGAAGAATAAAAAACGCCATAAAACATTAACTTTTGGCGCTCCGCACGGACTTCTTGGATCTGCGCTGGGCCACCCCCCGGCGCCGGAGGCGACCAAAATTTATGTTTATGGCGCTTTTCCCCCACATGTTTCGTGGGGTTATGGTTTTCTTCTCTGCCGCGTCACACCCGCGTCTTCCACCCGCCTCCCTCTCCTTCTCCCTCTCCTCACGCACACACAGACACACACACACACAACACACACACACACACACACACGAAGTATGCCTAGGGCACACACATGAGGCACACGTCCCGATACGGCCGCACACGTGGGCCATGGCGCAGGGCATAGCAGGCGTGGCACTTTCTCGACACCGTAGGAGGTGCGCAGGGGGTGGTCCCCGAGCGCGGCGCCTATGCAGGCCATGGCGCAGGGCATAACAGGCGTGGTACTTTCTCGACACCATAGGAGGTGCGCAGGGGGGTCCCCCAGCGCAGCGCCTATGCAGGCCATGGTGCAGGACATAGCAGGCGTGGCGCTTTCTCGACACGCTAGGGGGTGCGCGGGGGGGGGGTCCCCGAGCGCGGCGTCTATGCGGGCCATGGCGCAGGGCATAGCAGGCGTGGCGCTTTCTCGACACACTAGGGGGTGCGCAGGGGGTGGTTCCCGAGCGCGGCGTCTATGAAGGCCATGGCGCAAGGCATAGCAGGCGTGGCACCTTCTCGACACCTAAGGGGGTGCGCAGGGGGTGGTCCCCGAGCGCGGCGTCTATGCGGGCCATGGCGCAGGGCATAGCAAGCGTGGCGCTTTCTCGACACCATAGTGGGTGCGCAGGGGGTGGTCCCCGAGCGCGGCGTCTATGCGGGCCATGGCGCAGGGCATAGCAGGCGTGGCACTTTCTCGACACCATAGGGGGTGCGCAGGGGGTGGTCCCCGAGCGCGGCGTCTATGCGGGCCATGGCACAGGGCATAGCAGGCGTGGCACTTTCTCGACACCAGAGGGGGTGCGCAGGGGGTGGTCCCCGAGCGCGGCGTCTATGCGGGCCATGGCGCAGGGCATAGCAGGCGTGGCACTTTCTCGACACCATAGGGGGTGCGCAGGGAACGGCCACCAACATCATTCTCACATGCTTCACTTCAGCTATCATCACTCCAGCCATAATACAAGTATGTGGGGTTCCTTGGTAGCGTAATTCTTCTTCCATAGAAGGCTGGCCCCCCTCACCGTGCCCCCCCCTCGTGCGCGCGCCCTGCGCCCTCCTCCCAGACATCCGCTGCCCTGGAGCTTTTCTCGGCGCGGGGCCCCAAGAGGTAATTAGGGGCCTCGTGCCTCCCCCCCCCCTCCCTCCTCCTGCTGCTGTTCCTTCTGTATCCCCCACCCTCTCCTCCTCCCCTCTCCTCCCCGCCCTCCTCTCCCCCCCTCCTTCTGCTGCTCCTCCTGATGCCCCGCCCTCCCCTCCTCCCTCCTCTCCTCCCCTCCCTCCCCCCCCCCCCTCCTGATGCCCTGCCCTCCCCTCCTCCCTCCTCCCCCTCTCCCTCCCCCCCCCTCTTCTGCTGCTCCCTCTTTATCCCCCGCCTCTCTCCTCCCCCCTCTCCTCCCCCTCCCCTCCCTCCCCCCCCACGGTAACCTCTGAATCGTCATCCCGCATCGAGGCTGGGGCTCCTGCTGGCCGCGGCACGCCCCTCGGCCACGCAGGGGGTGCCCCCTGGCCCGGAGGCCTCCGCGGGGGAGGCCCCCGAGAGCCGGTGCTCCTCCTCGTCAGGGCCCCTCGAGAGGAGGATCGAAGCCCCGTCAGGGCCCCTCGAGAGGAGGATCGAAGGATCGAGGAGGATCAACGAGAACGATCAAGGAGGAGAAGGAGGAGGAGGAGGAGGAGGATCAAGGAGAGGGAGGCCCGGAAAGTTCCAAACGAGACGCCGAAGGACATACATACTAGTACTGTGTGTCCTCCGTAGAGGCGTGCGTCCTACCCGAACACATCGTAGACCCATCTTGTAGTACGTATCGTTTGCCGAGCGGCGTATGGCCAGAAAGCGCACGCCCTGGAGCTTACACCATAAGATGTTTCTCGGCGCGGGCGTCGCCCCTGGCGGGGGCGACGAACACACATAGTATCAATATGCTGGGGTGGCGCCGATCAAAGTGGGGGTCAAGAGGCGGCGGCGCGCCAGGGGGGGAAGCGAGCAGAGGGCGTGCCTTCTCAGTGAAGGCGGCGAGGCTCCTCAGACAGAAGCATCCTGTTCTTCCTCCTCCTCCTCCTCCTCCTCCTCCTCCTCCTCCTCCTCCTCCTCCGCCTCCTCCTCCGCCTCCTACTCCTCATCCTCCTCCTCCTCAGCCTCCTCTTCCTCATCCTCCTCCTCCTCTTCCTCCTCCTCCTCCTCCTCCTCCTCCTCCTCCTCCTCCCGGCTCGACTGTCGTGCTCAATCGAGTGCGGCACGCGCTGAGCTGTCAGGGCTCGTGCCTACTTGTAGGCATCCGTTCCGCTCCGTTCCGTTCCCCCTCCTGGCCCCAGGAGGCCACAGGAGGTCCCAGAAGATACCAGGAAGCGCCAGAAGAACTCGGGAAGCCCCAGGATGCACCAGAAGGATTTAAGGGCAAAGCGCTGCGATGGCTAACTAGGTGCACCATCGAAAAGGGCTTGAGCTAAGGTTGCCTCAAGAGGAGTAGCCAAAGACTGCAAGAAATTGTGGAATGCTGGAATTGCTAAATACTACAGGCCCGATCCGAGAATACATGCTATGCGATTGAACATTGTTGAAACAGCAAGAACGAAGTTGGAGATGGCAAATAAACTGAGTTCAGCTAAAGAGGCATCTAGGCAAAAAGCATGTTGAGCTGGGCGCATGCGGGTTGAGCTAAGACAGGGCAAACCGAAATGCTGCTGGCCCGTCCAGGCTAAGTTGATCCGAAACAGGGGATCAGCTGAGTTGAACTGTACTCCGGCTAAGGCAAGATAGGCGAGAAACCGCTGGGCCCGGCGGAGCTCAGACCAGCTCCGAGGCCGAGCCACCACGGGCAGCGCCGAGCTGCACCCAGCCGAGCCGGGAGAAGAGGCCAAGGGGTGAAGCCGGAACCCACGCGGAAGCCCCTCCTGAGCTGCCCGACGCGCCCCCCCCCCGACGCGTCTGGGGGGGGGGCCTCGGTGACGCCAGCGCCCATGCCACTGATGGTGTTGCCGACCACACCGATCTGCAGCGCGCAGGGGGAGGGGGAGGAGCGACGAGCACGGCAGCCCGCACTGCTGGGTAGGAGGGATGGCGGAAGGAACAAGGAGTCGACGGAGAGGACGGGAGAACCGAGGCACTGTGCCGACCGACGAGCGAAGAGGAGGACAGGGAAGGAGGAGGCAGGGAAGGAGGAGGAGGAGGAGGAAGGAGGAGGAACAGAAGGAGAAGGAAGGGGAGGGAGAGGACGAGGAGGAGGAGGAGGAGGAGGAGAGAGAGGAGGAGGAGGAGGAGGAAGAGGAAGAGGATAAGGAAGAGGAGGAGGAGGAGAACGACGACTACGACGACAAGGAGGAGAAGGACGGAGGAGGAGGAGGAGGAGGAAAAGGAGAAGGAGGAGGCGAAACGGAAGAGGAGGGGGGAGAGGAGGAGGAGGAGGAAAAAGGAGGAGGAAGGACGAGGAGGAGGGCGGGACAGGGAGGGGTGCGGGAGAGGAAGGGCGAGGCGCAGGAGGAGGACGGGGAGGACGCAAAGACGGAAAGAGCACGGGGGGAGGCCGGGAGAGAGGGCGGAAGACCGGAAGCACCGTGCCGATCGAGGGCGGCCCTTGTGGCGGGCGACCGAGGCGCGGAGGTGGATGTGGGCGCAGGGTGGCCACCACTTCCTCCTCCCTCCCTCCTCCTCCTCCTCCTCCTCCTCCTCCTCCTCCTCTCCTCCTCCTCCTCCTTCTCCCTGCCCCTCGCCTCCCCTCCTCCTCCTCCTCCTCTCCTCCTCCTACTCCTCCTCCTCCCCTTCTCCTCATCCTATCCTCTCCGTCCTCCTCCCCCCATCCCCTCCTCCCTCCTCCTCCTCATCTCTCATCCTCCTCCTCCTCCTCCTCCTCATTCTCCTCCTCCTCCTTTTCGCTCCTCTCTCACTATTTCTCCTGCCTACTCCTCCTCCTCCTCCTCCTCCGCCTCCTCCTCCTCCTCCTCCTCCTCGTCCTCCTCCGCCGCCGCCGGCCGCCTCCGCCTCCGCCTCCGCCTCCGCCTCCGCCTCCCTCCTCCTCATCCTCCTCCTCCTCCTCCTCCTCCTCCTCCTCCTTCCTCCTTCTCCTCCTCCTCCGCCTCCGCCTCCGCCTCCGCTTCCGCCTCGCCTCCGCCCCCGGCCTCCGCCTCCGCCTCCGCCTCCGCCTCCGCCTCCGCCTCGCCTCCTCCTCCTCTCCTCCTCCTCCCTCTCCACTCCTAGCTCCTCCTCCTCCTCCTCCTCCTCCTCTCCTCCTCCTCCTCCTCCTCCTCCTCCTCCTCCTCCTCCGCCTCACCCTCCCCCTCCTCTTCCTCTGGCTCCTCCTCCTCCTCCTCCTGTTTTCCTTATTCTTCTTGTTCTTACTATTATTCTTATTATTCTTCATAGTAGTAGGATTATTAGTATTACGAGTATTAGTATTATTAGTATTAGTAATATCTACTATTATTAGTATTATTATTATTAATATTATTTTTATTATTATTATTATCTAATAATATTATTACTATTATTATCAATAGTATTATTAACATTATGTTTCGTATTATTATTGGTAGTATCATTAGTAATTTTAGTATTAATAGAATTATTATTACTATTATTTTTAGAATTATCAGTATTATTAGTAGTAGTAGTATTATTAATATTAGTAGTAGTATTAGTATTGGTATCATTATTAATATTATTAGTATTATTAGTAGTATCAGTATTAGTGTTGTTAGTATTAATATCATTAGTACTATTACTATTATTAGTAGTATTATTAGTATGAGTATTATCAGTATGATTACTGTTATTATTATCAGTCTTAGTATTCGTATGAGTAGTATGATTATTAGTACTTATAATAATAATAATATTGTCCTTATTAGTAGTAGTATCATTCGTAATATTATTATTAGTTTTCCTATTATTATTAATACTAGTCGTATTAGTATTAGTAGTAGTATTATTAGTAGTATTAGTAGTATTACTATTAGTATTACTAACAGTAGTGGTCGTAGTAGTATTATGAGTCATATGATTATCATTGTTATTAATATTATTAGTAATATTAATACGAGTATTACTAGTATTAGTAGCATTCGTAGTGTTATTAGTATTAGTACTATTATTAGTATTATTGCTATTCTTTGTATTAGTATTATTCGTATTATTCTTCGTATTCTTATTATTAGCCTTATTATTATTCGTACGATTATTAATAGTAGTATTATTATTTTTTAAAAATTGATATTAGGATTAGTAGTAGTAGTAGTAGGAGTAGGAGTAGTAGTAGTAGTAGTAGTAGTAGTAGTAGTATAATTGGCAGGATCATTATTAGTATTATTATAAATAGTAGCAGTAATAATATTAGTATTATCATTATCGGTATTAGTATTAATAGTGCTAGTATTAGTATCAGTAGTAGTATCATTAGTATTAGTATCCTTCTCCGTATTCTTAGTAATTTTACGATTAGCCTTCTTAGTCTTATTAGTATCATTAGTATGACTCTTATTCGTATTATTCTTGTTATTATTAGTATTATCCGTAGTAGTACGCTTCTTCGCATTAGTATCATTATTATTGGTAACAATAGTAGTAGTCGTATTAGTATTATTGGAATTGGTATTATTATTCTTGATATTATGGGCATTCGTCTTCTTATTATGTTGCTTATTATTATTCTTAGTATTAATATTATTTCTCGTATTCGTCTGGTTAGTATTAATATTGTTATGCTTCTTAGTGTTATTATTGTTATTCGTATTATTCTTCCAAGTATTAGTACTATTAGTATTATTATTATTAGTATTATGTTTATTCCTCCTCCTCCTCCTCCTCCTCCTTCTCTTCCTCCTCCCCCTCCTCCTCCTCCTCCTCCTCCTCCTCCTCCTCCTCTTCCTCGTCCTCGTCCTCTCCGCCTCCTCCTCCTCCCCTCCTCCTCCTCCTCCTCCTCTTGCCTCCTCCATCCTCCTCCTCCTCCTCCTCCTCTCCTCCTCCTCCTCCTCCTCCTCCTCCTCCTCCTCCTCCTCCTCCTCCTCCTCCTCCTCCTCCTCCTCCTCTTCTTCTTATTAGTATTATTATTCTCATTCTTCTTCATAAAAATATTATTATTCGTCTTCTAATTCTCCTTCTTCTTATTATTCTTATTATTAGTATTGTTATTATTGTTATTATTCTGATGTTTCTTATTAGTATCATTATGCTTATTCGTTTTATTATTATTATTCATATTAGTACTACTCTTATTAATATTCTTAATAGTATTAGTATTATTATTGTTATTATTCGTATTATTTTGATTATGGTTATTAGTCGTATTCTTCTTAATATTCTTATTGTTATTATTCGTCTTCTTCTTATTGTTATTATTACTCTTATTAACAGTCGTATTAATATTCTTATGATTCTTCTTATTCGTCTTCTTCTTATTATGATTATTATTAGTATCATTAGTATGTTTATTCCTCTTCCTCCTCCTCCTCCTCCTCCTCCTCCTCCTCCTCCTCCTCCTCCTCCTCCCCCGCCTCCTCGTCCTCCTCCTCCTCTTCCTCCTCTTCCTCCTCCTCGTCCTCCTCCTCATCTTTTTCTTGTTTTTCCTCCTCCTCCTCCTCCTCCTCTTCCTCCTCCTCCTTTCCTCCTCCTCTCCTCCTCCTCCTTCTCTTTTCTTTCCTCATTCCTCCTCCTCCACCTTCCTCCTCCTCCTCCTCTCATCCTCCCTCCTCATCATCATCATCATCCTCCCCCTCCTCCTCCTCCTCCTCCTCCTCCTCCTCCTCCTCCTCCTCCTCCTCCTCCTCCTCCTCCTCCTCTTCCTCCTCCTCCCCTTCCTCCTCCAAGCAGGCCCGGGTGCTCCGAAGCCACCATGCGGCGGGCTCTGGACACCCAGACACGATCGCGCCATTGAAAAGTCAGGGCGTCGTACGCATGGAAACCTTGAACCCGGAAAAATGCCGCCATTTCTTGCTGGCGCACGGTTTCCTTTCTTTTTGTTGGACGCCACTCCCATTCCCAAGGAAGTTTCGCGGGGGCAACTCAAAACAGCCGCAATAAACCGCGGCGCTACCGAAAATGCCTGGGGGGGGGGAGGAGGCAGGCACGAGATGGAGGAGGCGGCAGTGCCTCGACCCCGCGCCCGCGCACCCCAGCCTTTGCGGGGTGGCACTGCAGGGCGGCCCCCCCTCCCTCTGGTGGAGAGAGGCGCGCAACCCCCACAAAGCGGCCGAAGCAGACCACGCGGCGACGTCGAAGCACAGGTGGATGCCCGCAGCTGCGAGCGCCCCGTTCTCGCGGGGCACCGCCAGGGGCATCTTGAACTTCGGGTAGTGATTGATCGCGAAGATCCATTTGACCCCCATGCCCTCGGCGTCCTCCTCGTCCTTCTGCGCGCCTGTCTTGACACTGAAGCAGCGCGCGGCCACGAACTTCGCCGCGGGGTCCTGCACCTTGGTCCCCATGGAGATCAGCACGTCCAGCGCCTCCTTGGCCTCCTGTGGGTTCAGGCCCTGTTCCGCTGCCGCCATCATCTGATCTATGTTGCTCACCGCCGCCTCGCTGATGCGGAAGATCACCGCCTTCGCCAGCGCGTCGGGCCTCTTCCCGAGCGGGTCACCCATGCAGGTGGGGCCCCCTTTGTTGGCCTTATCCTTGGCTTTGCGGCCCTCGTCGTCGTAGTGCGTCAGCGCCTGATCCAGCGCATCTCCAGCTTGCTCTGCGGCTTGAGCGCCATCACGAAGTTGTCGCCTCGGCGGTTCGCCCTCGGCAAGTCCTCGCGCTGCAGCACCAGGCGCGCGAGCGCTATGCCGAGCGGGCCCACGATGTCGCCCGCGGCCTTGTCCTCGCCCCCGCCGACAGCGTCCGCTGCCGCTCTCTTCCGGCCGCTGCTTGGCGCCCCCTGGACCTCGCTGATCGGCATGAACATCGCCTCGCCCGACGGGCGCAGCCAGCGCGGGCAGGGCTTGGCACAGAGCTGCTGCCTGACCACTTTGACCCTCGACGCCGATGGGGTACGCCGGGCATCGACCTTCCTTGACATGCCTCACCAGCGCGTCTTCGCTCGCGCAATATTTCGCACAGCGCGGGCATCGTTTTTGTCGCAGGTCGCCATCGGAAAGAATCATCGCAGTCGGATTCGTATAGACAGAATGAGCCGCCGACTTGTGGTTCGCAAGCCCCTTCTCTCCATTGCACTTGTTCCCCCACACACACACACACACGCACACACACACACACACACACACACACACACACACACACACACACACACACACACACACACACATCACAGTCCATCCACGCAGCGGCTGTAGGCTCCGCAAAAGAGGCCGAATCGCCGAAAGTAAGTACACTGCGAAAGTATTTCGGCCCCAGAGAAGCCAGCCACTTCAACCCGGGCTCAGCAAGCTCGGGTAGGTCGCCAGGAGGAAGAAACAAGCGACGCGCCAAGGTGCCCATGAGCTGCCCCTGACAGCCATAGGTGCCGCACGTCTGCTTTCAGGAGGGCCAGCATGCCCGAGGGCCCCTTCGGGGTCGCGCTCCCAAAGGAGAAGCGGCCGAAGATAGTTGCACGGACCGCCGAGGCCGAGCCGTGCAAGTCTGCGTCAGGTTCACGAAATACGGGCCACAGCACTCGGCGCCACCACTTCAGGCGCCTCCTGAGCAAAGTGCCCTCCACTGTGGGGACTCCAGCAGTCCCCCTGATCTCGCGGTTGGCCTTCTTGAGGAGGTGCGCCGGCGATTGCCGTAGCCCTCGGAGCTCGCGTACTTGCCACGCTTCGAGTCGAGCCAGTTCACGCTTAGAAAGAGGGGCGACTTCAAGACAGCATAAGTCCAGCGAGCGGACCAGCGCCTTCCAGAGCCTGCCCCTCAGCAAGGGGCTGAATCCTCCACGGACAGCTCTACGCTGCAGCCGAGAGTGTGCCGAGCTCGCCGCTTGGATCCCGCGGGCCACCTCGATCTGGTAGCTGCCAGTGGCTGCTAACTGGACACCGAGGTACTCCACTGTGGGCTGCGGGTGGAGGGGGAAGCAATCGTCGTCGCGACGATACCGGTGGCGCGATCCCTGATGCGCTGTAACCGCTGCATGCTGCCCACCCCCGATGGTATCAATAAGAGTTCGGTCTTCTTTCCATTCACCTGCATGCCACCATGCTCGATCTCGCTGTTCACAATTGCCAAGAAGGTGGAGACGTCGTCGCATTCCTCAACCTCAGCGAACGTCAGCTAATCTTCCAGGAACTCGAGGTGGCCGACGTCGACCGCGGTGCAGTCCTCAACTTCCAAGCCGTTGTTGGTTCTGATACGCTTGAGGGAGGGGTCAAGGAACACTGTGACGCTCGCGTAGTTCTGTTGGGTCTGGATCTCCGCAACTTGAGCCACGAGCTTGTCATGGGCCTCCACGAAGAGACCAGGGCTTTCCACTCCTCCTTGGCGTACACCTCGTTTAACCCATATCCTGTCCGTCGGCCCCCGCGTCTTCACACCGCGGGATAGATTACACATGCCGTCGTGGAGCTCTTCCATAGTCACGCGGGCGCCCCAGCACACTTGGAAATCCTCGAGGCCCGTCCAGATGTCTCGGGGGTCGATCGCGTCAAAGGCTTTCTCAGGTCAGCGAGGACTGCCAGCAACATAGGAGGGGGGATGATCGGCCCCATCGTTTGGCTCGACGAGCACGAATGCGTCGAACGAGAACCACCAGCGCCACCGCCACCGCGGGCGCCACGCCCAGGCATGGCCCCAAACTGCGCGCGAGAGACACGGTGCGCAACATCGCGTAGTGCGTCCAAAGTAGTAACTCGCGCGAAAGATTTGCCCACGTGGCCGATCAAACTGATGGCTCGGTAGTCGTTCTTCGCTGAGCTGCCGCCGCGCTTGGGCTTGCGCAGGAGGACCGTCTCTCCGCCCTTGAACCTCTGCCCCCCCCCCCCCCCCCCCCCGTGCAGTTGATAAAACCGTGTGTGCGTACCACCTCGTTCTGCTGCGTTGCATCGCCATCACCAGCATCATCATCATCCTTGTAATCAATTTGTAATCCGCCACAAAAGAAATCCATTTCAAATCCGCCACAAAAGGAATCAATTTGAAACCCGCCACAAACACAATTGAATTGTAATTCGCCACAAAAGGGATCTATGTGTAATCCGACACAAAAGGAATCACTGTATATTTTGCCACAAAAGGAATCAGTTCGTAATCCGCCACAAAAGAAAACCTTCTGTAGGGAGGGGGTGTAAATGGTGGGTCAATCGCTACTAGGATTCTATGAGAGGTGAGTCCATCTCTCATCGGATTCTATTAGAGGTGGAAATATCTGGAATGGGATGGTCTTAGAGGTGGATCCATCGCTTATATGACCCCACTAGAGGTGGATCCATCTCATATAGGATTCAATTACAGGTGAATCCATGTCTAATCGGATCCCATTATAGGTGGACCCATCTCTAATAATATTCAAGTAGTGGGTCCATATGTAATATGATTTTGTTAGAGGTGAATCCATGTGTAGCAGGATTATACTAAAAGGTGGACCCATCTCTGTTAGGATTCCATTTGGAGCGGATCGATCTGTAATAGACTGTCAGTTGAGATGGGCCCATCTCTCATAGGATTCCATCAAATGTGGATCCAGCTGTAGTCGGATTCCATTAGAGATGGATCCATCTGTACCAGGATTCTAGTAGATGTGGATCCATCTGTACTAGGATTCCATCAGAGGTGGACCCATCTGTATCAGGATTCTGGTAGGATTGAATTGGGGGTGGACCCGTTTGTATTACGATCCTATTACAGGTAGATCCATATGTAATAGTATTCTAGTAGAGGTGGACTCATGCCATGTAGGACCCCATCAGAGGTAGGTGGACCGATCCCTAATAGGATTCTCTCAGAGGTGGACCCATATGTAATAGGATTGGATTAGAGGTGGGTCCATCTGTCATAGGGTTCTGTTAGAGATGGATCCATCCGCACTAGGATTCCATTAGATCCATCTCTAATCAGATACTACTAGAGGTGGGGCCATCCTTAGTAGGATCCCATTCGAGGTGGATCCATTTGTCACAGGATTGTGTTAGAGGTGGACCAATCTCTAATAGCATGTCATTGGGGATGGAACCATCTTATTAGGATTCTATTAGAGGTGGATCCATATGTAATTGGAGTCCATTAGAGGTGTATCCATGTCTAATTTGGTTTTATCAGAGGTGGATCCATCGTTAATAGAATTAGATTCGAGGTGGACGCATATGTAATGGGGTTCTATCAGACGTGGGTTCATTTGTAAAAAGGATTATATTAGAGGTGGGTCCATCCGTACCAGGATTCCATTCGAGGTGGATCCATCTCTGATGTGATGCCATTAGTTGTGGACCCATCTCTAATGGGATTCTATTAGAGGCGGACCCATATGTCATAAGATTATATTTAAGGCGGTTCCATCTGTAGTGGGAACTTATTAGGGGTGGATCCATTCCTAATCGGATTCTATGGAAGGTCGATCCATATGTAATAGGATTCTCTCGGAAGTGGATCCATCTGTAGTACGATTCTATGAGAGGTGGGTGTCTTTTGTGACGACGATGATGATGATGACGAGCATGTGTTTCAAGATGCTGCTGACGATGATGATGATGACGAGCATGTGTTTCAAGATGTTGCTGATGATGATGGTGATGACGAGCATGTGTTTCAATGCGCTGCTGATGACGATGGTGATGACGAGCATGTGTTTCAAGATGCTGCTGATGACGATGGTGTTGACGAGCATGTGTTTCAAGATGCTGCTGATGACGATGGTGCTGACCAGCATGTGTTTCAAGATGCTGCTGATGACGACGATGATGATGATGATGACGAGTATGTGTCTCAAGATGCTGCCCATGACGATGGTAACGACGAGCATGTGTTTCAAGATGCTGCTGATGACGATCATGATGATGAGTATGCGTTTCAAGATTCTGCTGATGACGATGGCGATGACGAGCATGCGTTTCAAGATGTTGCTGATGATGGTGATGACGAGATGCGTTGGGAGCGATGCGTTGTCATAATGAGTTCCACAGAGCATAATCGAGTGGGAAGCACAGCCCACCAGACTAAAGTTATCCTCTCTTTACCCTTCTTCCTCCTCCTCCTCCTCCTCCGCCTCCACCGCCGTCTCTTCCTCCTCACCCCTCTTGCTTCCAGTGGGTGAGCGCCGAAGCGCGTTCCAGAGAGATTAATAAGCCTTAATATCTCGATTCTCCGGCCTCCGGAGGCCCGAAACAAACAATATTGGCGGATTACAAATTGATTTCTTTTGTTGTTGAATTACAAAAGGGAATCCTTTGGTGGTGAACTACACATTGTTTTATTTTGTGGCAGATTACAAAAGGATTCCTTTTGTGGAGAATTACAAAAGGATTTCTTTTGTGGAGGATCACATGATGATTCTTTTTTGTGGCGGATTACAAAAGGATTCCTTTTGTGGAGGATTACAAAAGGATTCCTTTCGTGGAGGATTACAAAGGGATTCCCCTTGATGGAGGAATACAATGGGATTCCTTTTGTGGAGGATTGCAAATTGATTTCCTTTGAGGGCTCTCCTGGAAGTGAACCAGGGGACAAAAAAAAAAAAACAAAAAAAAAACATTGAAAATTATGAAAATTGCAGGTTTTCAATGAAATTCCAATGTTTTGAAGCAAAAACATATAAAAACACAACATTTCCAAGGTTTTGAGGCCCAAACCATATGAAAACACAGCATTTGTGTATTCGGATTGTGAAAATGCTGTGCTTTTATATGGTTCTGCTTCAAAACATTGGAAAATCATTGAAAACCTGCAATTTTCCTAATTTTCAATGATTTTCTGATGTTTGTTTTTTCCCAACCATCCTGTGGTGTTGGGTCCTCGTTTTGAAGAGACGGTGCCCCGCGTTCCTCTCCTCCTTCCTCCTCCCCCTCCTCCCTCCTCCCCCTCCTCTTTTCTCTTCCGTCAGAATGATCATCTGTAACATCATCCTCATCCACATCCTCATCCTCATCATCGTCTTCATCATCGTCCCCACCGCCCATGTCGTCACACCCCTCACACGTTTCGTGGCCCCATAGGGAGCTCCACCGAAGGTCCCACTGGGGGCGTTCGCATGCGTCTCCCCCACCCAGGACAGCGTTTCGTGGCCCCATAGGGAGCTCCACTGAAGGTCCCAATAGGGGTGTTCGCATGCGTCTCCCCCACGCAGGACAGCGCTTCGTGGCCCCATACATAGGGAGCTCCACCGAAGGTCCCAGTAGGGGTGTTCGCATGCGTCTCCCCCACCCAGGACAGCGTTTCGTGGCCCCATAGGGAGCTCCACCGAAGGTCCCACTGGGGGTGTTCGCATGCGTCTCCCCCACCCAGGACAGCGTTTCGTGGCCCCATAGGGAGCTCCACCGAAGGCCCAAGTGGGGGTGTTCGCATGCGTCTCCCCCACCCAGGACACTGTTTCGTGGCCCCGTAGGGAGCTCCACCGAAGGTCCCAATAGGGGTGTTCGCATGCGTCTCCCCCACGCAGGACAGCGTTTCGTGGCCCCATAGGGAGCTCCACCGAAGGTCCCAGTAGGGGTGTTCGCATGCGTCTCCCCCACCCAGGACAGCGTTTCGTGGCCCCATCGGGAGCTCCACCGAAGGTCCCAATAAGGGTGTTCGCATGCGTCTCCCCCACCCAGGACAGCGTTTCGTGGCCCCATAGGGAGCTCCACCGAAGGCCCAAGTGGGGGTGTTCGCATGCGTCTCCCCCACCCAGGACAGCGTTTCGTGGCCCCATGGGGAGCTCCACCGAAGGTCCCACTGGGGGTGTTCGCATGCGTCTCCCCCACCCAGGACAGCGCTTCGTGGCCCCATGGGGAGCTCCACCGAAGGTCCCAATAGGGGTGTTCGCATGCGTCTCCCCCACCCAGGACAGCGTTTCGTGGCACCATAGGGAGCTCCACCGAAGGCTCGCTGCTCCCTCGGCCGACATCGCCCAGGCGTGATCCTGGACTGCGGCCGCCACGAGGTGGGGAACGGCAAGAAGGAGGACGGCGACTGGTGGCTGGAGCTCTACGTCCTGCTCTCGCGCGCCACGCGCCACGAGGACCTCCTGCTCACGCGGGCGCCGCGCATCGAGTTCTTCCTGGCAGGGCCGCCGGAGGGCTTGCGGAAGCAGCTGGAGCAGTTTGCTGCGCGCACGAGGCGGCGCAGAAGGGAGGCGACGGCCCTCGCCAGGGAGCTGGGCTTCACCGAGTTTATCCGCGAGGCTTGACCTGAGGAGCGGCCCGCCCGAGCCTCGCCGTCTCTCGACGGTCTGACTGTTTGGCTTCGCGCCGCGGGCAACCTGCGCGCGTCGCTGGGACCCTCTCGGGGCGACCAGCGCGCGTCCCGGGAATTTCGCGCTGCGCTCTGACCAGAGCCTCGCTCGCCCCCGTCGTCTCTCTGCCCAGCGGCCACAGGCTTGCCCGCTATCAGCCAGCCTGCTCGCTCTCCCCGCTGCGCACAGCGGACGACCTGCGCGCGTCGCCGGGACCCCTTCGGGGCGACCAGCGCGCGTCGCGGGGATTCCGTGCGGCGCCGCGCCAGCAGCCATGGACATCGGCGCGCACAGGCAAAGATGCAGAGAAGAAAGGGAAGGAAGCGGGCGCGATCCTCGGGAGGAGCGTCCACATTTATGTACGTAGACTGATTCGCACGCAGACTCATTCACAATCAGACTCACTCGCGCTCAGGCTCACCCGTTCTTAGCCTCTCGCACTCAGACCGACCGTCTTTGTTCGTATTGTGTACCCCGTGACGAATTTCGGCACGCCCCTCACACGGTTCGTGGCCCCATAGGGAGCGCGAGTGAAGATGGTATTCACAATTGCGGTATTCACAACTGCACATGGTTGGGTCCTTCGCCAGGCTAATTTCTTTGTCCCCTGGTTCACTTCCAGGAGAGCCCTCAAAGGAAATCAATTTGTAATCCTCCACAAAAGGAATCCCATTGTATTCCTCCACCAAGGGGAATCCCTTTGTAATCCTCCACAAAAGGAATCCTTTTGTAATCCTCCACAAAAGGAATCCTTTTGTAATCCGCCACAAAAGGAAACACTTTGCAATTCACCATGAACAGAATTCCCTTTTAATTCCCCACAAAAGAACTCAAAAAAATCTGCTACAACAGGAATCGTTCTGCATTCCACTACTTTGAGCAATCCCTTTAAAGATGACGAAAAGCAGAATCAACAGGAAAGCAAGCAAATGAGAAGTAATAGACCAAAAACCGAGGTGGTACACACACACACACGGTTTTATTAACCTCCCCCCCCCCCCCCCCCAAGGTCTGCGCCGCAGTGTAGACCTGCAGGAGGGAGGCCGCCAGCATGTCGATCGCCAGCTTCCATGTCTCGGCGACCGCGCTGACGGGCGGGTCAAGCAGTGGCCAATACAGCGCGGGGCCGCCCGTCAGACTAAGCAGGTCCAGGATGCTCTGCTCGACGTCCCGAATGTCGCAGGGGCTTGTCCTGCCATCGTCTCTTTCAGCCGCACCGCGACAAGGGGGGAGATCGTCAAGTTCCATGGCTTGCCCGTCGCATAGTTCGCATACGCTTCGAATCCGTACCTGTCGATCACGCTCCAAATCGAAGCACGGGAGTCCTGTGGCTGAGCCGTTCACTGCCATCATCGGCGCTGGCGCCTTGGGTGCTAAATTTCCTACAATGGCGTGGAGCTTATTCGGGCTGTTCTGGCCGGCAGTCTGCTCTGCGAGCTCAGCGAGCGCAACCATGCGCTGGCGCTTCTCGCTCCTGATCGCCTTGGTCGCCGCCTTGGATGCCTCGTTGAACTTGGCCTGGATGCAATTTCTGAACCAGTGTGATGATTCGGGCACTGCGCTCAACAGCCGCTGCGAGTAGCGTTTGGTCGCGATGGGCTGGATCGCAGAGTCTCCGAAGACTGCGGCACTCACGCCGCCACGGGAGGGGGGTTCGATGCAAGCTGCCCGCGCCGCGTTCACCACCACCGCCTCCAGCTCATTGAAGTAGGCCGATAGGGCGTCGTAGCGCTTGCCCCGGCCGCACGTGTCTTGCCCATATTCATGAAGTCGCTTCTCCTTTAGGCCATCGCTGATTCTCTGTTGGAATTCACTTATTCGCACAGGTTGATCAGACCCATGTTCGTCGTCGTCTTGGGCTTGCCGGAGTCTTTCAAGATCCATTAGAAGGCGCTCACGTCACCAACGGCATCGCCTTCCCTCTTTCGGACGGGCCCGAAGACCTGCGTAGACGCGCGTCCCCAGCGGGCGGCGGCCCCGATACCCTCCGAGATGGACGGGCAGATAATGTCTAGGTCGAGAACAATGACCATACCCGCCCTGCCTCCGCACAATAACGTAGCCGATGGTGGTCCAGGATCCGATAGGGGCACGCCACGCGCCGTTGAACCGCGCTCTGCTCCCGAACGCATTGAGCGCCATGAGGCCGTAGTCTTCCATCAGGTCCATCAGCGAGTGCCCGCTGTCGCTGACGGTCAGGATCTTGCGGCTGGCGCCAGCATAGCCTACCCAGGGAAGATGAGGAGGCAGGCGCGCGTTGCCAGCGTGATCACCCAGGCGGTGCGAGCGGGGACCTGGCTGATGGCCATGCGGCATACCTGCCAGAACGCATCACGCAGGGCCTGATGTGCATCACGGACTACGTTGGGATCAGCGCCTTGAGGAGGTCGACCTGGCTCGTTCGTGGGAGAATAGCCGCTCATGATGCTGATGTCGCACCCGAAGCGGGTGCTATGCCCATTGCGGAGGCGGATGCCATGAAGCCGCCCCTGCATCCATAAGCTTTCGCAGCGGACCTCACAGCCCTTGAAGTGGGTCGCGTTGACGGCGACGAGGCAGCCGCCGCGCTGGCCCTTACCCGAGCGCGCCAACGAGTGCACCTCGAACTGCCCCGCCCTCCAGGTCATACCCAGGTCCATCTGGGTGCTCTGCATGGTGAAGATAGCCACGTTCCCCTTCTTGGCGAGCTGCAGAAGCTCGTCGAGGCGCCCGACAACCCGCGTAGATTCGGCGTTGAAACTCCAGATCTTCAAGGCGCGGGTCCGACGTCTCTGGGCGACATCACGATGTTCTCTCTTCCGTACTTCAGCTGGCGGATGTGGCAGCTGGGCTAGACTGTTTAGCGTCTGCATGGGGACCAGCTGCGCGGCCGTGGCACGTGTGCCTCTGATACCACGGCACCGAGCCGCCCCCGCCACACGAGCCGAACTGCCCGCCTTAGGGCTCGCTTGCCGCGCATAACCCTTACGCCCTAACTTCCAGCAGCCCCAGTGGAAACAGCACCAGCGCCGCTGTCCTCGCGGGCCGGGCAGCCCGCGGACGCTCGCCTCACAATTGCCCAGACTTCACTCGCCCCGCCACGGAGCGCCAATGGCGGCCATCGCGCGGCCGACGGGGCCGGCGCTGAACTGGCCAGGAATTGCGACCTGGCACGGCCGGCTCCTGCGCCGGTGTACGTCTCGAACCGTCGAGGCCCACGGCTTCCTTCCTTTTCAACGCGACCCCCATTGCCTCGGAAGTTTGGCGGGGGCCCAGCACAACCGCGAAAACGACGCGGCGCGTTTCCGAGCCGAAACGAGGCCCTGAAAACGCACAAAGGGCGCGGAACGACTGGCCGACAGGCCAGAGCCCCGCTCCCGCGCACCCCCACCCCTGCGGGAGCGACACCTGCGAGGGCGGCTCCGCCCCCCCCTTCTGGCGAGGAGAGGCACAAGGTCCCCCGCGTCTTAGCCCGGCCCCCTTCTGAAACATTTCTCGAGCTGCGTCTGCGAGGAGGGGGGGGGGGAAGGAGAGGTGGGGGAGGCGGGAGGAAGGTTCTCAGCGGCAACGGCAAAACCTTTCACCTCACGCGTAGATGCTGGCGACGGCGCTGGCGGGGGCGCCGGCGTCCGCGCTGTCGTCGGCGCTGGCGCAGGCGTCCTCGATCCTACCTCCCTTTCGGCTTCTTGCTCTCGTTCGTCTGCACCCCCCCTTGCCGCCCTTGAACGCCAAAAATTCCCCCTCTTTGGCCGCCTTCGACCTCGTCGCTATGTCGCACTGAAGGCTCACGCCCACAGCTGCCAGAGCGCCATTGAGCCTGAGCACCTTCAGCGACTCCTTCAAATTCGGGTAGTGGTTCACCGCAAAGATCCACTTGAGCTCGCCCTCCACTGAGCCCTCCTCCTCGTTCTTGCTGTTCACCTTGAAGTACCTCGTCGTCACGAACTTGCGCTTCTGGTCCTGCACCAGCGCCCCGAAGCGCAAGAGCTCGTCCAACGCGGCCTTGGTGCCCATCGGCTCGATGCCCTGCGATGCGGCCGCCAGCAACGCCCCCTCCTTGCCCTCCACGGCCTCCGCCATGCGGAACAGGACGGCCCGAGCCAGCGCGTCGGGCCGCTTGCCGACCGGGTTGTCCATGAAGACCTCCTTCTTCTCCTTCGCCTTCTCCTTGGCCTTGGCGGCTTCGCCCTCGTAGTGCGCCAGAGCCTGGTCGAGCGCGATCGCCATCTTCTGCGACGGCTTGAGCGGAACCACAAAGTTGTCGTCGCGGTGAGCCGCCCTCGCCATGTCCTCGCGCTGCAGGACCAAGCGGGCGAGCGCCTTGCCCAAGGGGCCCACCACGTCTGGCGGGTCGTCCTTGCCCTCGCCCCCGACCCCTGCCTCGACCGCCGTCCTCTTGTTGTTGCTGCTGCCCGCCGTCGCCTGCACCTCGCCAATCGGCTGGAACATCGCTGGCGCCAGCTGGAGCGGGCTCAGCAGAGGAAGCCGCAGGCGCTGGAAGTTCTGGAGGTCTGGCTTGAGCCTCAACTTCACTGGTACGGGCCGTACAACGTTTCTGTTTAATGCGTCCCACCATCTCGTAAAGGTCTTCTGGCAGTGGGGGCATTTTTTTTGTTTCAGGTCCGTGTCCGTGAGAGCTTCAGCTGCTGGGTTTGCATACACTTTATGAGCTGCATGTTTGTGGTTGGCTAACCCCTTTTCCCCAGTGCATTTTTGCCCACACACGTCGCACTCCAGCCACACGATGGCTGCAATATCAGTCACAGTGTCTGTCTCGCCGCCATAAGTCAGCACGCGGCGGAAGCAACGTGGCTCAAGAGAGGCGAGCCAGCGCAGCCGCGGCAGCCACGGCTTTCTTTCGCCGGCTTCCGCCGGCGGGGGCAGCCTCGCTTCACTTCCGTCGCCCCCCGCCGAGGAAGAGACGCCGACTCCTCCGACTCTCGAAGGCGAGGGCCTCTCTGGAGCACGCCGCGCAGGCTTGTCGGCCAGGGCCCTCCCAAAGAGGAGCCCTTCGTGGGAGCCGAGCTGGGCCGCCCGGGGGCTCGCGCCACTTCCGAGTCAGCGGGGGATGTGCGAAGGCGGGGAACAGAGGGGAAAAGTGCGTTTAGAGGGAAGTCGCTCCAGACGGCCCCCATGGGAGAAGGAGACGCGGGCATCCGGCCGGGTTCCCTCCCTGGCCGCACTTTAGGAGAGCCCCCCCCCCTCCCCCGCCCGCTACGTGAGAGATCTCGACGCGCTCCGCTCCAGACACGGGCCTTCTCGGCAGGCTGGGCGAACGTGTGCTCGGAAATGGAACGCGGCGAAGACCTGCAGGCCACGGGCAGTCACCACCGACGGCCCCCAGGAGAGCAGGACCCCAAACAGAGCACCCGAGTCGCAGGACGGCGAGAGGATCCCGAGAGGCTCCCGGGAGGGCCCTGGGAGGCCCCTGCGAGGCTCCCGAGGCGCTCCTGCGAGGGCCCTGAGCGGGTCGTGGGAGGGCCCCGAAGGGCTCCTGAGAGGCTCCTGAGATGCTCCTGAGAGGACGCGGAGGACGAGGACGAGGAGGAGGAGGAGGAGGAGGAGGGGACGAGGAGGAGGAGGAGGAGGAGGAGGAGGAGGAGCAGGACGAGGAGGAGGAGGAGGGCTCCTGCGTCCTGGTCCCCTTCCTCATCCTCGAGCGGGGTGCCTGGCTTTTCTGTCTCGGCCACGGTCTTCGCGGCGCCTGTCCCGCGGCCTCTACCGTCCGAGCGGACGGCGAGGCACTGCCTTGATTGCCTGCACATGCAGGCCCAGCTGACGCTTCGGGTGTGCGCG